CCCCCCCCCCCCCCCCCCCGGAGGGGTAAGAAATTCGAAAAGTTACCATGAATCGTCGAAAATCAACTGTGAGGCTGCAGTAGTAGATGGATGGCAAAACATGTGCTTCACTCTAATTACCCGTTCTGCATCAGCCATCTACTACGTCCTCGTCATCGATGCCGGCCCATACTCACCCACCCGTGCTACTACAGGAACACACGGAAACAAGCAGCCTAGTTCGCGTAGCGCCTATATCTACCTAATTAGTATCGATCAAAGCTCGAAATCAAACCATTTCAATTGGAACAGGACATTGACCAGCTTTCACATTGAACCACCTGCCTTGCAAACTTGCCCTTGCCGCCTCCTCTAGCACTGCACAACAGGGAACATAATTTCGATAATCTACTCGTTCGTAGCAGCCTTGGTCTTCTTCTTGTAGGGTTAAGTTTGACTGGACCAATCGGCCACACGGGCGACTGGCGGGCTATAATCTAGGATTTCCCCCCGGGATTTCCTGTAAGGCCGTTGATAATCCGGTCCAGTTTATTATCCTGTAGCGAATTCCCTGTAAGCTACTTAAGGGTAGTCTAGTGGGTAGACCGCTTTCTTCAACAGTGTGGCCGGGGTCCCTACAACAACTATCGTTCGCGTGGGGTTCAATCACCTATTTCCGGCGTCGTGTGGCCGGCGTTTCTCAAACAACTATCGTTCAGTAAAACATTCAATCAGCATTTTGCCGAAGTCGTGTGGCCGGCGTCCCTCCAGCGGCTATCGTTCGGGTGGGAGCTCAATCAGCCTATTGCGCGAGTCAAGTGGCCAGCGTCCCTGCAACAGCTATCGTTCGAGATAGAATTCGATCAGCCTATTTCTCAAGTCTGTAGCAGCTATCGTTTGGGTTAGGATTCGATCAGCCAATTTCCGGAATGATGTGGCCGGCATCCATGCAACAGCTTTCGTTCGGGATGGAATTTTATTAGCCTAGTGCCGAAGTCGTGTGGCCGGCATCCCTGCAGAATCTATCGTTCGAGAGGAATTTCAATCAGCCTTTTGGGGGAGTCACATGGCCGGCGTCCCTGCAACAGCTATCCTTCGGGGTGAGTTTCGGCCGATCTTGTGCCGGAGTTTCGTGGCCTAGTCTACGTCACTGCGAAGTGCGACACATTGTGGGGAGAGCTTGCTGTGAAAGTGTATTGAAGAGGTTGCGCGGTTCCTGCTAGTTTGCGGAAACGAACGGCCTGGTTGTACCGGTGCTGCTATGTACTGTCCAAGCGTACGTTGTGTTGCCAATGTTCAGCATCCACGGTAATTGTAAGTTTGAGAATCTTGTCTCTAAAGCTAGCTGTCAGGCGAATCGATTTGCCATGGCAATTTCCCCGTCCTCTCTCCTTAATGTTCATGAATGGTTTGGGGGATCTCGAAGGGGAGTTCGTCTATGCTTGTGAGCCGAGTTTGAATGGATGTTGCCAAGGAGTCAAAACGTCTTTTCAAACAACAGGTGGCACCCCCTATAGGGGGGGTGGTGATGCTCTCCGCCGGCGATGTAGCAACCGCCTACCCGATGTGGTCGGATGCCTACGGTTGACTGCAGGTATTGGACGACACGTGCGGCGACTATACCAGTTGGGAGTGAGAAGTGAGCAAGCGTAGAAGATAGGTCGCAGTTCAAAAGCTTGAGTGAAAACCATGGAAGGAATGCTTGGTTGTGGGTTTCGATGCCTTCGTTCTGCAGAGGTCGCCTGCTGAAGGTAATTCTGCAAAGGAAGAACCGTCTCCCGCTCGAGTACACATCACCTGTGACTAGGCGATACCCCCTCAAAACTGCGCCAGGCAGATCAAGATCTAGGAATTGCACTGCCACCAACCCGTACACCAACGGGCGCGATGAAAACGTGTTGGAACGCAATGGGGGGGTCTTCGCTACTAAGCCGCCGTAAAGGCGAGCAGACTCGCGTCGTGCCGTGCACGCGCACATCTTCTCGGCGAAACTTCATGGGAGCTCGTGTCTTTAATATTTTCGACGCGCGGACTACATGACAAGAAATGTGCGTCTCGCGCGGCCATCCGCCAAGCCCGTGCGCAGTTTTCCCGCACCAACGACATCCGCACTCGCGAGATTACTGTACCCGGGTCGCCCGGGCGTGATGACCTCTTCCACGCGATTCTTCTACGAAACATGGAGAACGTTATGGCCGAAACGATACATTCTGCCTGTCTCAAGCAATGGCGACTGGGTGACACCGCCTGTGACGCCGCCAACTTTGGCCGTTAACCCTCCTAGGACCCAGTCCCTCCGCCAAAAAAAATGCCGAAAAACAATGTGTCAGCCATTGGTCGAGGGGCTACAGTCCCTCCAAAGAATCTGAGCTCCTTGCCAGACAAAGGGTGGCTTGTCTTCAGTATGAACAGTGTTCCCTAAACACGTGGGGACACTTTTCATACTGAAGCCAAGTCAGCAAATTTTCCGAACAGTCTTGCGAACTGGGGGGCACGCGGGTTATGTGTACAGCAGGTCAGAGGCCCAGGAGAGGCATCACACAGCATATCATACAGCGTACCACCTCAGCCGAGCATGATAGACCAAGGGTTCTCACGTACGTTGCATACAGCGGAGCCGAGGTTATCTACAGTGCGGAAAACAGGCCTGTGAGTGCTGTGTCCTAGGTGTCCTAGGTGTCCTCAAATCGTCCCCAAACAGGCTTCCAGTACTAGGAGGGTTAAGCAAGCAAGTCATCAATCGCCCCAAGTGGAAATGTGTTTTTGAGTGCTTCATACGCATAGAATAACTTCGACTGCACTGGACGGCTGACCCTTGAAGACTGCCGACTTCTTCAACGGGACTGCCGTGTGCGCGGCATGAAGGTACCCAATTAATAGTTCGAACTACCGCTTTCAATGTACTATATACATGGAAGCCCAGGAAAGGACACAACAAACGCGAGCGATGTAGCCAAAATCGCGTGCGATATCACAGAGAACACCTGCTAGACTGTACCAATCACTCCAGCATGATGTTGCGCCAGTGAACCGCAGCGGCAGTGAAGCGGAATGGCACCGCTGCCGCATGTCACGCAGATCGCCTTCAAGCCGCCACAAGAGGGATGCACGTCACTCATGACAACGAGTGGCAGGGTCACGATTCACACTGGGACCCTCTGCCTCTCAACAAACGTCTCATGAGATCAACATGTCACCTTGGTGCTTCATCGACGAGAGAACATTCAACCCACTGTGATCGTCTGTCCCTGCTGCCCTCCGTCTGACTGGCTACACTAGTTCCTGGGGGGTAAGCTATACCCCGGCGTCAAAATAGGCCTCTAAGAATATTCGCGTGAAGTCCTCGGGGTTGTCGATGATCAGCTGCAATGAAGAATGCAAGTTCACAAGCGAGTAATGGAGGGACACAAGGTCAGAGGGGGTCCAAACCGACTTGATACATGCTGACCTTGCCACGAATCGCTCTTGATTGCGGAGGGGGTATTACTGATGAACAATGCAATGCCCTTTGAGACACCGTCTGGGTGTTGTCAACCGGGCGTTTTCGAACACACCGCTCCCGCTGCGGCATACCACCCTGATGGTTCTTTTCAAACTCGGTATGCACATGACATTCTGAGGTGCTCGCACGATGAGTTAGGAAACATGGCGTATCGCACACGATCTGCAACACACTGCGTGTGTGAACACCATTAAGCAGATTTATCGGCGCGGAAAATATTCACAACTTCCGCTGTTCAACGCCGTCAACTCAGCCCCTTGGCTGCAAATATCGACAGTGCAAGAACATGTCCGGGTCTAAACTGAGACAAAAATATTCAAGACAGTGTTAGCAACGTGTACTTGGCGGCATGTCCCCATGGTTTTCTCAGTGCGGTGTCGAACCGCATTTACGTCTTCCATCGCCTGTGGCTGCATAAGTTGGCTTTCCCGCCATAAGCTTGAACCACAGGCCACTGGCTTCTAAGCGTGCAGACGTCCGTCCAGAAATTTCCAACCATTCCGGTCTTGCGTCGTAGTCCTCATGACGGAAAGGCCAACTTGTGGATCGCGACAAAATTTCTAGACCGACGTCTGCACTCTTGGAAGTCAAAGGTCTGTACCCCAAGCAGCTGCGATCTCTTCTTACGTCCGTTGCCGAGGCTCTCTGCGTTTGCGTTTCGGGTCGACCCGTGCGTACATGCCCACATCATGCCTACTCAGTACGCGCGAACGACGGTGCCGACAGCAAGGGCGACTCCAGCAGCAGTTGCACCAGCAACAGCAGCCATCGTCGCTGTTTTCTCTCACCGTGTGGCCTGCTTCCGGCACGGAGTAGACCTTCGCCGTCACTCCCTGTCTCGTCAAGCTTTCCGCAAGCGCAATACCATGCCTGCTCAAAAAGCCACGCAATACGTGACAACACCACACGGCATACACCAACGAGTTCACAGCGATAAAGGACCCTGATTATCCCAAGTTGGTCTCAAGACGCGGAACTGTACCATTGCTTCCAGAACATGAAGAAAGCAACACTTTCAGGAAACACGGCGGGCAAGGTCGAGAATTCAATGAGTGACATGCGAACGAAGTCCGACCGCATGAGCGAACGAGAGGAGAGCAATGCACGCGAAGCGGAGATTCGAGACGCGCGATACGAGCATGTATTCTGACCTTCTTGCAATAATTCCTCGCTCTGTAGTCGTTTGGCGTTGACAGCACGGTACGTCATGGGAGAAAAGTTCAGGTATTCGAATGGCATGCATACAGCGCACCATCAGCACGCCAGGGGAACTACTCAGCAGTGACCACAGCAACCACAACCACAATTGCCACCACCACCAAGTACACTGTACTTGCAAAGACGCCACTAACCCACCGGTGGGGCATCCAGTCGTGGTCCGGTGAACCGTAAATTATCGACACGGGGCACGAGATCCCCCTCCCCTCCTCCTCCGCCGCGCTCCGCGGAGCCCCTTCCCCCCGTTGTACACGACCTCCACCGCCATGACTGCTGCTGGTAGCGCTAGCGGTAGCAGATTCACTGGCACCGCCACCACCACCCTTCAGGGTTTCTAGGACGGGCCGGTAGGCGTGCAGCATGGGGTCGAGGAGGGGGAAGATAATTTTCTCTCCCGAGGCCGGAAGTGCTAGCAGCTGCAGAAGATATGACGATCCCGTGGGGGCGCGGGAAGAGGGAGGACGACACAACCGATAAAGCTGACCTCAAAATCATGATCAACCACAAAATCGAGCTCTGTTGGTTTCCAGTCTATGAGCCACAACACGCCACAGGGTATCTCTCATTCGAGTTTATATTTCCTCCACATGCGCTTGGGATTGGGGAACAGGCGGGCACGGGTCCGCAGGATTCCTGCCAAGAGATCTTGACGGCACTGCATAGAGATATCGCACTATTACAGGACGGGAACGGCCGTGTATGAGCCGTTATTGGAAAAGGTGTAAGGAATCTCCCTGGCGATCATCTTCCCTGCTTCTACACACACAGCGTGATGTCCTTCACCCGCGACACGAGGGCACGGTATAGATCTGTAAGGGTCGCGTCGGCAGATGGCCTGAGATAAGTGCGGGTGAGGGACATCACGCTGTGTGTGTAGAAGCAGGGAAGATGATCGCCAGGGAGATTCCTTACACCTTTTCCAATAACGGCTCATACACGGCCGTTCCGGTCCTGTAATAGTGCGATATCTCTACGCAGTGCCGTCAAGATCTCTTGGCAGGAATCCTGTNTGTAAGGAATCTCCCTGGCGATCATCTTCCCTGCTTCTACACACACAGCGTGATGTCCTTCACCCGCGACACGAGGGCACGGTATAGATCTGTAAGGGTCGCGTCGGCAGATGGCCTGAGATAAGTGCGGGTGAGGGACATCCCGCTGTGTGTGTAGAAGCAGGGAAGATGATCGCCAGGGAGATTCCTTACACCTTTTCCAATAACGGCTCATACACGGCCGTTCCGGTCCTGTAATAGTGCGATATCTCTACGCAGTGCCGTCAAGATCTCTTGGCAGGAATCCTGTGGACCCGTGCCCGCCTGTTCCCCAATCCCAAGCGCATGTGGAGGAAATATAAACTCGAATGAGAGATACCCTGTGGCGATGCTTAAAACCGGCTGTACTTCAACTCTTTCTTTTGCCGAAATGTCGACTGTTGTCTTGCTGCGCCTTTTGTGAAAACGAGCAAGTGGTACAGTGGAGGTCCCTGTATAGTGACGGGGTGTGCGCAAAAATTTCACCGGCACTATACCGGGCACCGGCACTATTCTTCAGAGTGCCTGAATAGTGCCAAGTGGGCACTTTTCAGGGTCTGAAAATCTGTCGATCAATAGTGCCAGACCGGCACTATTGACGAACTGTGTGATTTCAGAGTGCAGCGCTTTGCTTTGCAGGGCCAACAGAGTACCACATGAAACGAACATGGTGAGATCATGGCATGGGCGTCGCGGGCAGACTGCTGTGCCACGATAGGGGTGGTTCCTGCCCTGTCGAACACACATATTTTGCTTAAAAAGTTAACTGGACGGGAACACATGCTGCACCTTGTTGCTGTACCCACCTCAGCGCACGTACTGCACACTTGCACAGCCTGACTTGAACCTTTTCCATGAATATCGCGAAGGATGCACCTCATAGATGTCCAATACTTTGTTGGCAAGAATGCCGTGGCACTGGCCTTAAACGGATGAAACCATTTCGCGCAACCTCAACGTGACCCTCGACAGCGAAAGCAAACAACTGATCATAAAGCCCATGGATTTTTGGCGGTAACACTTTTGCGAAGCTCCTGCTGGCACAACCTAATGGTGAAGGAGGAAGCACGTGTACCCTCTCCGCTGTGTCTGTCTCCTGTGTTGTGTGCGTCTCTTGTGTGTTGTGTGTGCGTGCGTGCTTGAACCGGCACTATTGTGGGGTTCATTGGGGCCCGAACCGGCACTATAAGTGGGCAGCCCTGAATAGTGCCGGTCTGGCACTATTCAGGGCGGGTTCTGTGCGCCGAGATTTGGCCAGCACTATACCGGCAACCGGCACTGTTCAACCGGCACTAAACAGGGACCTCTACTGTACCTGATAGACACAATAAATCGCGTACAAGACGTGATGATCGCAACAACAACATAGTTTCTCGCGCACAGGGTACACAACCCAAGCAGTATCTCGCAGCCGCAAGTACAATCAGTTGTACGCAAGACATCGTACAATCCTCAACTGGATAGACATGAATATTATTGCAGTGGCATCAGGTAGACGAGGTACAAACCTCGGCTCGACTAACTCATAGCCAGCAGATCAATTTGCGTGGTGATATGTACCTGATAGACGTACTCCCCTAGCAGATCGGAGTCAACTTCCCTAATCTTGGCGGCCTCTGGCACCCACGACAACCTCCTAGCGACTACAATCTTGGCCGCTCTAAGAAGGACCACAGCACGTTCATGAGGCAGGGAAGGAGGGTGCGAGGGTGGGAGGGTGGGAGGGTGGGAGGGAGGGTTGAACAATCCTGATGCATCGAACATGAACTCGGCTCGAACAAAGTCCCCCAAGCACGCAATCCATCAACCTTCAGAGCACAGCAAGCACGGCTGTCCCGACACTCGCGGGAGAGGGCACATCATGATCTGCCGAGTTGGGGGCGATACGCGCAAAGTTCCCACGCTTGATTTATCATTCAATTTCGTGGCACACGAGTCATGCCAAGGGGAGGGGTGACCACTGGTGAAGGGGGCATCCTTTTCGTGTAATCGTGGTTCCGTTGAAACCACAACTTTGTGCAACTGTAAGCATTTTCACCGATATCGTGGGAGGACTAAATCCGTGAACATAACAGCCACGCCAAATATCGACACACAGAGCAATGGTCTCCGACAAAAAAAACTAGAGTCTGGAGGCAAACAACTTCCGTCCAATTGCATCTGCACGCCTGCAGAAGCGTGCTCATGGAGCACTGGTGTTTCGTTTTGGAGTACTTTCACCATNATCCTCCTTGTGTTCGCTACCATCATTCTGATCCTCATTTTGACAAGAATCTCTGGGCATTTCTTCCCTAGCCCCACGTTTTTTGTTTGGGGAAGGTAATCTGGCTCAAACCCTTTGCTCTCTTCCACTCCTCCATGTTTTCCTCCTCCATCGTCGACTTCGTCCTCTTTTCTTCCCTTTCCCTTTCCTTCGTCTCCGTCACTCCCAAAAGAATTACCCTCATGACTTGTGTGTGTGTGCGTTGTTGTTGGCATCGACCGCGCCAGCAGGCTGACCAATGATAAGACGTCTGTGTGTGTAGCTTTTTCGCTTCGATAACGCTCATCGGCTGACTAACGATGGTGCACCAGTGCTCCATGAGCACGCTTCTGCAGGCGTGCAGATGCAATTGGACGGAAGTTGTTTGCCTCCAGACTCTAGTTTTTTTTGTCGGAGACCATTGCTCTGTGTGTCGATATTTGGCGTGGCTGTTATGTTCACGGATTTAGTCCTCCCACGACGATGCCAACAACAACGCACACACACACAAGTCATGAGGGTAATTCTTTTGGGAGTGACGGAGACGAAGGAAAGGGAAAGGGAAGAAAAGAGGACGAAGTCGACGATGGAGGAGGAAAACATGGAGGAGTGGAAGAGAGCAAAGGGTTTGAGCCAGATTACCTTCCCCAAACAAAAAACGTGGGGCTAGGGAAGAAATGCCCAGAGATTCTTGTCAAAATGAGGATCAGAATGATGGTAGCGAACACAAGGAGGATAATGGTGGAAGTACTCCAAAACGAACTCGAGTACAAGGTAGTATCCTTGGTAGACGCGTGTAGTTTTCTTCTGTTGCTGGTGTTTCTGTCTTTGATCCGAAGGATAGTTTAGCCTCCCCCATGCTGCCCCCCCACGGGGTCCCAGTTCATGGCAGATGCAAGTGTTTTGTGTTTTCAACCGCAGTAAGACTGACGTCATTTCATTAGTCAGCCGGTTAGCGCGGTCGATGCTAATAATAAAGGCACACACATAAACGTATTCCGCTATTCGCCGTGCTCAGCCTGACAACGGATCAATGGTCACCCAGATAGCGCTATCAATGCTAACACACCCACTTCCGTATTCTATATCCCGCTATTAGCCCGACATAGTTCCGAGATAGTTCCGTGGTCGACCGGTTGGCGACATACGTACACACCTCATCCCCAACGGCCCTGCCCAGCGGAGCAAGAAAAGGAACCCAACCCCGCGGGTCCAAAAAAACGAATAAATCTTGTACACAAGGCGGTCCTGTCATTATCGGGTCATTGACGTGCGTGGAAGGGCGTGTTGTGTTGTAGCGTAAATATATGCATGGGGCTGATAGTTAAAAAAAGAACAGTAATAAGAGAGAGCACCGGAGCACCGGTTGTCAGGAAATCTTTGACCCTTACAGCAGTGATTGTCTCGTGAGCTGCCGGTGCACGTGATAACGGAGCACACATGGAATAATTGAGAGAAAAAAAATGCCAACGAGTGCTGCCCACGTGCTGCTGGGGCTGCAACATGCACGTCACGAAAGAAGCGGCTGCCGACTACACCCACAGAACAGTAACCCGCATCAACGGTGTATGCATGGGACACATGCTGCAACTCAGTGAAATCGGCATCGAGCTAGATCTATCGGTGGTGTTGCGAATGTCGATGGTGTCATGAAAGGGCCTCCGTTGCATGCATTACTGAATGTGCATCCCTGAGCTACGCGCACCCTTTCGCGTCATTCTATGTACCCTCCAGCCTTCGACCACAGAAGTGCATCCCATGACTACAGAAGTGAATCCTGTGGCCACAGAAGTGCATCCCACGACGACATAAGTGAATCCTGTGGCCACAAAAGTGGATCCTATAAGTACAGAAGTGAATCCTGTAGCCAAACAAGTGAACCCCATCACCACAGAAGTAGTTCCCTGAACACACAAGTGAATCCTACGAGCACAGCAGTGAATGACTTCCCATCCCACTGCTCTCTTTCTTAGCAGTTCACACGCTTCCTACTCTCATCCCGCCAAACGAAAGACGATACAACGTCATGACAACATGAAAGAAGTAGGTCAAAGCATTCATCGCCTGGTAAAGCTCCATATTGGGAGCTTCCCTTTGAAAAAAGTTCTCATTGGTAGTGTTGCTTCCAGCGCGCGGAATACCCTTTTGATTTGGAAGCAAACCGACAAAACTACCTACTGCTCATGTTTTTTATATTTTTTATAAGTGACATCCCGGATCGCGAAAAACATCTGTCCGACCCGATGGAGGGCGGGGGACGAGGCTTTCAGCGTACCCAGCCAAAGGAACTCCACCGACGCCAGCGGGACACAAGTTGGGAAATATGTGCGGCAGGCTGTCCAGCGTGTACGGCCTACTTGGAAGGTAACAAATCTGGCCCTTAGACACTCAGGGTCCAAGACGCAGAAAATTCCCCGTACCTTTCCGGTGTCCCCGTCCATAGGAACGCCCCCAATTCCAGCAGGAGACAGCAGAAAGAGTTTTCGCAACCTGCGACGGAAAACGAGGGAACGACCACCAGGCGGGAAGAAGAGCAGAAACCGACGCGCAAGTTTAGAGTAAGACGCGCAAGTTTAGAGAAAGAAGCGCCAACATCACACCTCGACACAAGGATGCAGCAGGACGAGGGAGCGCCGGCCACCAATAGAGCTCCATCAGGGATGAATCAAACAAGACTTGAATTAACAAGCAAGCGCAGCGAGCACTACAATAGACACTTGGACTTCGCCAATAAACCTGAAACGACAAACGGCGGAGAGCGACAGCAGGAGCCCCTCTTCTGACGCATGCGCGTCAGCAGGATAAGGGACGCACATGCAACACAACAACAACAACAACAACAACAACAACAACAACAACAACAACAACAACAACAACAACAACAGCAACAACAACAACAACAACAAGGATAATATCATCCTCAACACAAACAAGTGAATACCTGTAAGGATGGGACATCGCGTAAGCGGAAGCCATCATCCCCCCCAGAGAGTGGCCGCAGAGCACCATCTCCGTTATCCCCATCTCTGCCCGCCACTTTTCCAGCGACTCCACCAAAATCTTTTCCTGCGAACGTTCAATGGATCGAACGTTGTGTTATGCAGAAATGTCAAGAGACATGTATTCTTGATGAGAAAAACACACGAACGGATGGAAATGATTGGATAGCCAATCCTATCATAACAGCCCACCAAAATTGGTACATCACCTGCTTTTCTGCAACTAGTCCATATGCTCTCCATCCTCCCCAACAACCTCCCCGTTGTGTCGAACAGAGAACGCATACCGCTTGATGCGCGTTTTCGTGTTTTGGGAACTTCTCACTCGGAGCATTTCACGTACCTCCTATGGATCGAGAAGAGTGTGATGGTCCGAGCGACTGCCGAGTTGGATGTGTGTGCTTCATTTGGCATGCATTTTTGATTCCTTGGGGGAGGAGGGAGGAGGCGTGCCCATGTCAACACATGCCGCAGTCGTTAGACGCCGCATCCCTACAATACCGCCAAGAAGCATTTTCGCTGGCCCAGGCGACGTTCTACAGGGATGAACCGGAAGTTGGTCACCATTTCTTGCGTTTGTTGTGCCAGACCAGACAGCCGTGAATCGATTGGTATCCCGGCTAACCAAACGTCTTTCGGTTAGCGGAGGGGGGGTATCTTCGTGTTACCGTTTCCGCGGGGCCCTTTGCCTTGAACGGGAGACGCTCCGAGCGGCCGCACCCGTACATCTCCACGCAAACCACCCGAAAATGCGACGAGAGCTCCTTCAGCACGAACATCCAGAACCCGTTTCCCGCCGCATAGCCGTGCAGCAGAACCTGCAGATTGGGAAAGACGAGTGTCAATGGTTCCAGGAGGTGAGGTTCGGCCACGGCGTCGGAGTGTTGATTTGAATAAAGAATGTGCATAGAGCTGCCGTGCCCTTTGCTAGATGAAATCGCTGACCGCCGTAGCCCAACGCCTAACCTGTCACGCCGAATGACATGGACGTGTTTACCAGGGAGAGGAGCACCAACCGCAACACAGCAAACATCCCGCTGCCACAACCAAGACAACGGCAACAGTTGCTACTTTGGACTTGCTCACCAACACAGGTTTCTCTGGGGCTGCCTCCCCGCTCGGCGGAACGCCGGCCTCGAAGGACTGGTGGAAACCCTTCACGCAAACGGTGCCCAGGCCGGCTACCACTGACTGCTCGAACTCCACCTGCACTTCCCGCCAACAGCATATTGTACCATCCAGCAAAGCCCAAACCAGGACAGAATAGGGTGCGTGGGTCGAGGCAAGGCTTGGTCATCGTCGCTGCTGCTGACACTTGGACAAGTTGCCTGTGTTTGTTGTTGTTGCTAATAACCGGTGCAAAAAATTTGGATGCCTGCGGGTGGGGAGCGGCAGCGTAGGGAGGACCCGACAAAGATAAAACCCAACCATTCTCTCGAGCAAGACCAAAAGGCTGACACGCACAGAAACCAACAGACACGGAACCATGCACGGTGCTACGCAGGCAAAGAACGCGAAGGTGGGCAACGCGAGGAGGGCAGGGAGGGGGTGACAGGACGGGGCCCCGCAAAATAAATACGACGAACAGGCCTGATGAACATGCATCATATAATTCCAACCATAACGCCATCCCGTTCCGCACCATTCAGAACGTACCCCAAGATGACACGCCAAACTTAGCCAAGCGACGGGTGAATCTCTCCCGAGTGGAGCAGCAGACCCCTAGGTGAACCAAGAAACACCACCCCACGGCATCCAAACTACGCAAGCGCCATCGCACAAACCAACTCTCGTTGCCCGATTGCTGCAAGAAGCCTCCAATGCCGAAACAAATTACATCAGAAGGACCTCTTCAAGCGTTCTCCTTGCACGCATCGATTGTTGGGTCTCGCGTCCTCTTTGTTGCGAAGCCATCGGCTACGAATAAAATCAACCTCTTTCAACGCCGATCCAGCGGGTGTTTGGTGTCACTCCCAGGCACCACGTTCAATGCTTTGTCGGTGGCTTTCTCCTCGGAGGGGCAGCATGTACTTAACAGCACGAATGGGGTCCACGCGAACCAACTGGGTAACACATGTGCACCTGGGCGTACTTCTTCAGCAGGGCCGCTTCCGCCTCCTGCAGCCTCGGCATGGAGGCGTCGGTCCACCAACGGGCCATGGACGCGTACACAAACGCCGACGACACCAGGGCGAGCCACAGCCACGCCAGCTTCCATCCCTGTCGGTCTGCGAGGCGCCGGAGGAAATGAATATATGATTTCGTTCGGGTATTTATTATTTTCCTGATTTGGCAGGGACATACAGGAGAAGGAGGCGATTGGATGTTCCCCCATGTTCATACGCGACGTGTGTTTCGCTGCGATGCACGCGCCGTTCGGTCGAAAAGCTGCGTGGTTCGTGATATCAAGCGAAATGAGGAAGGCGACGGCTGCTTAGCTTTACCGGTAATGATGTGGCTACCCGCACAGACCAACGAGGGTGCAGCAGCAGTAACTCGGGGGCCAGGAAAGCCACGCATGCCATGTGCAGGTTGTGGCAAGAACTTTCTAGTGTGACCAATTCACCACGGGCAACTACGATGCTACTACAAGCCAACCATTTCGACAATTGATGTTATATCCGTTGCGTTCGGAACACACTTCATCCAAACCCCACCCCCAGCCCGATGACCCAGCTCAAAAAATAACAACAGTGTTACAAGATAGCTTCGACAAAGCACGTGCGGTGACGACACCGCGCACCTTGAGCCTCATTTCTGGCGACAGCAACGATCTTCACCGACAGAAAAGCGGCCACCGCCGTAGCCACGGGGATGGAGGCGAGCCTCCGGCTGCCCGCGAGGGAGGCATTGGTGTCGTGGTGCCGCAGGAGGACCCGGTAACAGAGGTAAGCCGCCACCAGGACGGCCAGAGGGTCTGCCTCGAGGGGAAAGCAGCGGGCGAGGAAGGGAGGCGCAACGTTAAAGTTGTGGTTGTCGTCGTCGTCGTCGTCATTGGAAACGTCGTCGTCGTTATTGTGCTTGTTGTTGCTGTTGTCATATCCATACGATGCATTTTGACGTGGCCGTGGTTAGCGTCAGGGTAGTGGTGGCTGCTGCCTCTGCAAGGCATGTACACCATTCACCCAATCGGTTAAAAAAGAAAGCATTCGATTCTTCCGCGGTCACACCAAGGCGCACAACTATTGCGTCTTGTTCCCGTCGTTACATACCCTCGCTGCGCGTGTCGATAACGGATACAGAGTTGTGTGGTTCGGGATTAAGCGGGACGGGTTAATGTAACAGGGCAGGACAAATGTGCTCGGTCGAACCGCAGCACGGAACCGAGGCACCAACAGCAACAAGAGCAACATCGTTCTGTTAAGTTCAGTCACCCATCGCTGTGTGGCGCAGATCGGCCATGGTGGCAACGGCAGTAGGGCGAACGCGACAACCGCAACATGTTCCCAAAGGGGAAGTCGTCAGCAGAGCGCACACATCCCGGGCCCGCTGGAACAACGCTGCGAAGCAAAGGAAAACAACGGAACGCAACATGATCGTCGCCTGAAATACAGCAGGCATCCACGCGGAAGCACACCGGCTCGCACAGCCTTGGGACAGGGCTACAGATTCGCATGCATGTGTGGAGCTCGTGTTACGTGCTTTGATGCTATCATAAATTGCTCTGTCCGAACGTAGCAAGGTCGGGTCTCCCGTATCCATCGATTGCCGCAGGACAACGCCACAAATAACTGGGCGCATCACCGCTGACGATAACTCTGCACTACAACATACGCGGCTCCCACCCCATCTAGCAGCGCCTTGGCTGGCGAACCGGAGTCGAACACCGAATACGCGACATGTCGTACTGCTACCCCCCCTTCAACCTCTCAATAAGCCCAACCTCCCATAACCCCCTTCGTCAACAGCGTTACCACCAGTCCACCCACACCTCTGCCGAAAAGAGCATGCGTTCTCTCACCCAACAAGCTCGAGTCAAACGCGTAGTCGTCCTGCCCCATCCTGGTGTCGATCAAGCCCGCCGTCACCACGAGAACCGAAACGTAAACGAAAACGCCGCATTCCTTGAGGGAGCACAGGAAACCCACCACGGTCCAGCAAAACAGGAGAGTGGCCACCAGGGGCACCACGAAGAACGCCGATATGGCCGACCCCGCCTGTCGCGTGCGGGATGGCATTTTTCATGAGGCGTTTTGTGGGGCGGGGTGGGTGTACCTCGTTTACAACAAATAACTTGAGGTTGACCGGAGACCACTTCGCACTGTGTTTTCGAGACGGGGCACGGTTCTGATTTTGCCAGGAAGACTACCAACATTCACTCGCGTTCTTGACGTTGGTGTTATACACGCTACACAACACCAACACTTCTTGCTTCAGACTCGAAACCTTTAAAAATAGGTTCAAATCTAGAAAGAAATAAACACCCATTACCCTGTGCTGACAGTCCCGCCTTGTTTCAGATAAACGGGGTTCAGATTTGGGCGATAACAGATTGAAGGCCCTCGTTTTCTGACTCCTGTTCTACTCTCAGAAAATGTGCGACCAGGCAGAGAGCGATGAACCCACCCTCCGAGCCCACAAACAAACCAACAAAAGACTACAGGCGAATCATGCCATCCTACGTGTAGAGCACCACACGGCAGGAGCGCTTTGAGTTGGCGCGCCCTCTGCGGATCGAAACACCGATTTGACCTAAACACACCAACCAACACAAAAGCAAGTGTAGAAAGGGAGAGAAGAGAGAGAACGCGGCAACAGCCAAGCGATCGCGGCACGTGGACTGCTGTTTCGCTGCTGTAGCTGGACAAGCAGGCAGGTACGATGGCCAAACAAAGGCACGCATGCAATAGCCAAACATTAACACAGTTTGTCATCATGCTTTCCCCGTGAGGGGCAAGGACCTTCATGGCACTGGTCCGGATGCTTGTGTGTGAGGAATCAGGCCGACATGTTTGCAGGCATTCTCCTGCCCTCGTTGCGGTTTCGCCGGACCATTCATATATACACACGTCGACGCGCGCGAGATGACACCCACGGGCGCTTAGGGACTGCTGTGCTGTTTGGTGGCGTGCACATCATTGAAAGTGCTGTTAGGGTCGTAGCCTCTGCATTCGTCAGGATACCAGCCCGATGTCGGTGAAGAAATGAAGTCGAGCTCCTAACATGTGAGAATTGCGGCATCCAGGACTGGTCCCCGGAACGCTGCTACAAAAAATGTGCAGCTTCCGTCCGAAACTGCTGTTTAGGTGAGTAGATGCAGCAAATCGTCCGAGGGTATGTAGCGCAAGAGCACACGTTACCAAAGGTTAATGTTTAATAAAAAATGCACAATACCGGAGGTGTGTCTCTGCTCCATGTCGCAGGCCGCACATTTCGTACGTATACAGCAGTACAGCAGTAGACCATGATCACTTGCTGTTGCTTGTTGCGGGGGAATTGCGGGACTTTACGGAGTTTCTCGAACACCGCTGGGCTCGTGTGTACATATGTTTTAGTACTGTTGTGCAACAGGTGGAAATACGGGGGGTGTCGTGCTTTCACGACACAAGCAGAAAAGGAAAAGCCCGTGCGTTAAGCTGAAAGCTCGGCAATCGTTGGCTTTTGGCGCGCTCCCTCCCTGTGGTCGTGGTGCAGTTCTGTGGCACCCAGCAGCATGAAACTTCTTGTGTGAAGTCCCAGAACAGTATGTGTCATCCGTTGAAGTGGGGTCATCTCATCGAGGGACCACCCCGACAGCCACTGCATCAAGAGGGAAACGAAGAGATAGTGGCAGCAGATACAACGCAAGAGGAGCCACAGGCTACCTGATTGCTGCGTGCCCAGACTACCGATGCGGCGACATCGGAGGACGTCAGCCTCTCTCAAAGACAGCACACATCACAGGTGCTCGCACCTTAGCCAGCAGTCCTCTTTCGCTCATATCTCCGGACGGCTGGGAGAAAACTGTCAACAAGCCTCACCCCGTCTGGTCTATCCCTCGTCCCCCCTCGTCTCCTTTCTCTTTCGACCCTCTCACAAGTTGCTCTGAACGTGTGCAAACACAATCGGCTGATCGGCGAGCACGCGGCGCAATTTGCCGGGGGGATGGGGCTCCGCTTGCATCACCGGAGGAGTTTGCATACCCCATGTCAACGAGATAGAAAAACGAAAAACGTTAGACATCGCACTTGGAGACACACTTTGCACTGCACTGCACACAGGCAGGACCGTATCCGACGTTCACGCACACCTGCACCTGTCACAGACGTCCCATTCAAGCTCTGTCATTTTGTCGGGCAGTTGGTGGGCGCGCTGCATCGGTCACAGCAGCAGAGCGGGCAACGTGCACACAACGAGATCGTTTTTTTTGAAATCGAGGTTTGAATAGCAGTAGAGCTTTCGCTCCCAGCAGCACCAGCGCCCAGGCAGTTGTTGTTGCTTCCTTGCCCTGCTTCTGTTGCTGCCATGAAGCGTGTACGTCAGCCCTTCGGAGAGACCGAGTCGCCGAACTCGCCACCCCCATCGTCCTCCTCAGCACAGAAGCGAGCCCGGCAACAGCAGCAACACCAACAAAGGCAGCGCCACCATTACAATGCACAGGGGGCGGACCAACGACAACAACAGCAGCAACATCAGGGGCCCTTCCAAGCTCTCCTCTCTCAGCACGGCGTGGCGTGGCCGTCTGCGGCGGCCATGGTCGACGAGGAGAGCGACAAGAGGGTTCTGGGGTTTTTTTGCCGTAGCAACCCTTCCAAGCTGAGGTTGGCGGTTGAAAAGGCGCTCGTGTACGACAGAGCTCGGCGGAGCGAATTCGTTGAGGTATTTGCTTCGTGAGCGCTCTATTTTCAAGTCATTGATTCCCACCCATGCGTGCAGAGTTCACGTTTCATATCTGCATACGGCAAGGGTGTGGTTGCATAGATCGTGGAGTTGTCGCACGTATCATGTGCATCAATCATCCGCTCATGCGGCATCCCACGACCCAAGGGTCTCGTCCGTGAGTAGGCGCCTTAAATTTACCATTTGTTTTTGAGTCATTGCCCAACACTCGTTTGATGCCTACGCTGTTCATGTAGCATTCAGACCGTAGTAGTAGCCACGTGCCCTACATTGTTTTATGAGTCTACGCTGGGTTGGGCTGGGTAACTCCGAAGATACGCCAACATGGTTTTATTGAGGGAGACTTGCAGGGGAACGTCGTCTCCATGACAGAGGACTTGAGCGCAAAAACACTGGCGAATATGAGCAGAGCGGTCGATCCCACTGAACACCCTACACCCCCCCCCTGGTAATGGTCAATAGGTGTGACGACTTCGGCATGCGTTTCATTCATTACACCCGCACAACCCCCCACACCTACCGCGTTGGGGGCATCTTTCACTCGTTTCACGAAAGCACGAAGCGCGCGGGGGGAGCAGGCGCTCACCACCGACGTGCCCTTTGCTTGCTTCTGGGGCACGCCGCCGCATGCGCGTCGGATTTCTACAACAGCAGGGGAGGCCGAGAGGCACGGTCGTGTGTGTGATCCACGCCCGCCGAGTGCAAGCTTCGCCATGCGCGAAAGAACTTCCGTCTTTGGCTTGATTTCCGTTTTTCTCAATGCCATCCGTATTGGTCAGAACTGACTCGTCCGTCGCCTTCGCTTGTCTTTGGGCCACCTACATCCCTAGAAACTGCGCGGTTGGCGATATCAGTACCGGGGCTGCAATAGCAAGCATCACTGCTGTGTGCGCGCGCAAGTGTGCGCCTGCCTTCATTACTCGACCGCTCCTCACTCGGACCTGAGCTCCGCGTTGACAGCAATCATACGCATCATCTCTCCTACAATATCATAGCAATTTACTCTATTCCGACGCGATGCTCCCGCGCTTTGCCACCCGTGATGTAATTCCAAGAGCATGAGGGAGTTCATGGCTGGACCCGTTCAAGCCCTGAGGCGGGCACTACTGCCTCTTGACTGCTGTGGCGAGGGTCGTGCAGTAGGTGGAGGAATGGGGGGCAGGGCAGGCTTCATTGCGGCGGCGACGACGGCAGCGGCAGGGGGGGGTGTTGGTGGCGGTCGCGGTGGGAACGCCATCCACGAGAGCCTGGTGAAGGTCTTGCTTCGCGTCGACTGTATCCAGCCGGAGGTGTGCGCGCGTTCGGTCGGCGTTGCCGTGGGTGGTGTTTTTGTGTGCGCGCGAGTGTTCTGCCGAAAGCACCGGCCGCGTGAAACGGCCGACCATAGCAACATGTGTGTGTGTGTGTGTGTGTGTGTATGTGTTTATTAGCATCGACCGCGCTACCCGGCTGACCAATGAAAAGACGCCAGTGCGTGGATGTGCGTGGACCGAGTCTGTGAGGTTTGGCATGCAGATGGCGTGGCGGGGTGTTCGTCGCACACAAGCGCTTGTCGTCGACACTCACAAAACTATCTTTTAACCTGGGTTCCTTTCATTCTTCCTTCCTTGGTTGTCCACGGGTATTACCGGAAGCAGGTTATCGAGATGCTGCTGGAGAAGATCCCGGAGCTCGTTGGAGAAGAAGAAACCGCCGCGGAGGGAGGGTACGGGTCTGGTCTAGCAGCCCGGGAAAGGACGTTCTCATGGCAGGCACGTTGTGGGAGTGCTGTCGTTATCGTTGTTGTTGATGGAGATGCCGTGGCGAAGAAGGTGTGGATGGGATTGCGGGGCAGTCCCAGAGTTGGTTTCTTACTTTCTGCACCAAGCATGTGAGGGTACCGTCGCTGTCGTTGTTGTCGTTTGCTGTTATTGTTGTTGTTGCCTTGGCAATGGGGACGATTGGGAGACGATGAGATTGCGGAGGGGTTCCCAGAGTGAGGTCGTTCGTGGTAGGTAGTACATTTGTGTTGGTTGCGACGTCGTTTTTTTTTTGTGTGTCATGCCTCTCGTCCTTTTGTTGTTCTTGTTCTCAATTCTTGTCTTTGGTCTTGATGTCGGCTAGTTCAAGTTCCCGTCCCGTTGTTCTTTGCCTGCGTCTTCTCCCTCGACTCCGCCATGATCCTCCTGCTGCCACCACCCCCTTACACCAACCCCATGTCCGTATCCCCGTCCTCCCCTGACCCCCAACCTTGTTCTCGTAGGACCTCCCTCGGCTGGTGCTGAACCAAGTCCGCTTTCTCGACCACCTCGTCGACAGCACTTCGCTCACCAGAAAAATTCTCGAGGTGTTGACGGTGCTGCCCGTAAGCCTCCAGCGAGAGATGATCTCCTACCTGCCGGAGGTGCGTTTTCGTGTTTCGGTGTTTCGTTTAGTAGCATTCGACCGCGCTAGCCGACTGGTCGATGAAAGAACGTCAGGTCCAGCGTGTGTGGGTGCGTGTGTTTTGTCAGCATCGGCAGTGTCGACAGGCTGGCTTTTCGTAGATGCGGCTTGCGTTCATTGCGGATGTGTCCGCGTATTCGTATGAGCGTCGACCGCGCTACCAATCGGCTAGCCAATGAAAAAACGTCCTCAGTCCCGGCCTAACACGCGAACACGCTCTTTTGAGTGTCTGTGTGTGTTTTTTTTTGTTTGTTGTCAGCGCGGGTCGTGCAAACAGGATGACCTTTCGAAAATGGGTCGGTCTTGCGTTGCGATGTGTGTGCCTTTGTTCGAGTATCATCGACCGAGCCCACGGGCTGACCAACGTGGATGGACCCGCGACTCTTGGGGTGGAAACCGTTAGCATTTTGGTGGTTTTCACTTCGTACCAGTCGCGTACATTAGGATAATTTGTACCTGCACAATCATGAGCAAAAGTTAGAAGCATTTAGTGTGACGTCCCGACTCACACGTTGGGCCGCACCGGTGGAAATTTGTGTGTTGGTTGGGTTTTGCGTGTTGGGATTTGGGGAAGGCGCATGGCAACCTATTCTGTGGCCGGGTGGCTGGCGATCGCAAGGCTTCGTTTCTGTGCGTCCAGAGAATGAAGGAGAACATTTTGTCAGGACAAAATGCCAGCACGACATGTGAACTTCCGAGAACACCACTCAACATTCACGAATCTGCGGCATCTTTTTGATGATCAGAACATCACTTTTGGCAGAACGGGTTGGACAAGACTTTTCTTCCTCTAACAGCGGGACGGGGTATGTAACGTCGATTGGACACGAGGAAGGTTTCTCTACCACAACGGACCAGCTGTGGCAGCATACATTACGATGAACATTCGGGTTGTGGCCAAAACGAGTTGCGGCCGAAACAAGCTGTGGTCAATGCGCGTTGTGGCCGAAACAAGTTGTGGCCCAGAACTGCCTTTCCCTGCTGTTTGTCAATCTTTACCGGACGAAGGTGGTGGAAGACGGTGACCACGCGGAGGTTGTGGACACCCTCCAGAGCCTGAAGGACTCAGAACCGCAACTCCTCGTGGCCGTCCTTGACGCCCTCGGCAACCTATCGCTGCCGCCGCGCCTGCTGGGGGCCATCACCGAGGACGCGCTTGGGTTGCTGGACAGCGCGCAGCCCTGCACCCTCCCTGTGCTGGTGAGGAATAGTAGTAGTAGTTGTTGTTGATATTGCTGTTGTTGTTGCTGTCGTTGTTGCTGTCGTTGTTGTGGTTGCTAGGTTTGTTGTTGTTGGTGGTGGTGGTGTTTCCCACTCAGCTGTTGTCATTTGCATCCCAAGTCGGGCCCTTTCACCCAAACTGACGCCCCCCGCCCCGGTCTTCCGACGACATAACCGCAGGTCCGATTTTTGCTCGAAACAGCCACAGCCGACACAGCCGACGCCGTGGTTAGGGAGTTACGAGAGAGGCTGAGGCTTTGTCCCGTGGTTGGGGGCGGGGGTCGTGGCGGTGTTGAAGATACGGAGGAAACGGAGGCTCTTGTGCTTAACCCTGGCCTGCAAAGCAATCGTGAACGTGAGAGAAGTAGCTGGAGTTGCAAAGGGTTATTGAGAACGGGGTCGCGTGCTGCTATGGAGAAGCTGTAGAGATAATCACAGGAGTACTAAGAGAAGGACGGGTACGAAGTCATGGTCTGGTTCCTGGGCCTGCCTTTGAGTTGTCGTGAACGTGAGAGTTCCACACGAAAAGAACCACGTCGTCTGAGAAATGATTGGTTCAGCGGATGCGCGTGACGAAATGGCGTCATGAATCAGCTTGTTAGGTTGTTCGTATTGGTAGACAAAGGAGTCTTGAACGAACTCCCAGAAGGTGCCAAGTACTGCTGCTAGAACGGCAAGTGTGGCACGCCGGTCTATCTCGAACTTAAGAGCTCCGTTGTGCGTGTGTGTTTACCTTCCTCGCCTATGGAAACCCCGACGCTTTTCCCACGTCGGTTTTTCACTTATTTCCCCCAGTGCACTGCTGTGCAGCTGTTCGCCCATCGACTAGCCTTGACCTGTGACGTTGATTATTCGGTGCAATCTCGAGTTGTGGAGAGCGACCATCTGCGGTCTTTCAAGACCTACGGTCCTGCACGTCGATGATTCACCGCCTATCCCCCTCGCCCACGGTCGTGCGTGGCTGTGTTTGTGCGTCGGGCTGCAAGGAGTCCAATGTTGTGCTGGCTTTGAAAGAAACCCGAGGCACGACCGACAGTGTTTCCCAACCGATGGCGTTTGTATCGTTTGCTTTCGTCCACGTCTCTCTCGAAAACATAAAGCAGCTCCCTCCGACTCGGACACGTCTGGCGATGCGCTCACTTTGGAGGCGTTACGGCAAGGGCTCCGCCTGAGGGGTGATCTGGCCGCGTGTTTCCTCAAGGCCATCACCAAGACGGCCGGGTCCGAAGGCCACAGCGTCGTGGACCTGTGGGTGCTCTTCTGCCTGTACGCCAACCAGGACACCCGGAAGAGGGTGAGTGGTTTTGGTTGTTACTGCTGTCCTTGTCGTTGCATATATCGTGTTGGTGGTCGTCGTGACGTTCTGTTTTCCTAGAGTGGTGGCGTGTTTCTCGTGCTGTTCGTGCCCACCCTCCCTGATCGCTCTCTGTCACTCCAACACAAGTTCTCAACACTTTAATCAGACCGTTTCTGATAACCGCTCTCCAGGGATAAGTTTCCATTTTTTTTCCACAATGATTATTCGTGGTGTGTTTTGATCTGACGTCAGCGGTGGCCGAGTGGTTCAGTTGGCCAAACCTTGCCCTACCCGTTGGCTCTAGGTTGTGGGTTCGAATCTCCCCAAGGAAACAAAACTTACCAATCGATAACATATTCCATACAGGCGTGTGTGAAAACACGCTTTGTGCAATTTTTCACGAGATACAGAAGGAGCGGTTGCTTAGCGCTTGTCGCGTTATGAGCTGACCGCAAGCATCGCAGGAGGATACAGGTGGAGAGAAGCTACAAGCATCCCGTGTTTACCTCTCTCCCGCATCACCTCTTCTGGTGCGTCGAACATTTTCACGGAAGGTGGTCTAGACTGACGCCCGGAACACATGGGACTAGAACACACACAAGGTTTGCATGCTACAATCGGCGAGAAACTCACAAGCGTAACAGGTCGTGTGCGTCGACGGCGAAAACGATTCATTCTATTCCCGCGATGTTCTCTTTCGCGTCTTGCAAATGTGCTCCAGGTGATCGCCCTGTTTCGTCGAAAGATCAGCTGCGGGCATTTCACCGAACCCTTGATGACTGATGCTCTCCATGGTCGGGCGGGAGCTCTGCACGGGCTGTTCTTCAGCCTCATGGGCATCACTGATGCGCTGGTACGTCTGCCAATGACAAAAGAAGGACGCCCTGCTATCCCAAGAGTTTTGTCGGCCGCTGGGACGCCTCGTTGGCGTTGGCTATTCGACGGTCCCTCTGAGCTATTCTGTTGCACACACACCCTTTCATTGCTACCACAAAACAACAACGACACCGACCAAAAAACACACGACGACGAGCATGCCTCCCTCTGTACCATAGCGGTTGTTTCACACCCCTGTGATTTTATCATTTTTTCTCAGGTGAGCTCCGGGGTTGTATCGGTTCGGAGGTACGGCGCCAGCATGTACCGCGAGATCTTCTCGGGATTTTCGGAGACCTACCACCGCCAGGAGGTCGTGGGGGCCCTCATCACGCACTGTGGGGCTGGTTCGGAGCTCGAGACCGATAGCGCGCTCTCAGCCTTGTCGGCTCTGGCATCTCCGAGGTACTGCTGCTGAACCCAGTCGTTGCTGTTGCTGCGGTCAGCCCAAATGGAATACATTAGCTCCACACATTGGCTATTTTTGTCCGTGGGAACCCCCCCCCCCCCCCCCCCCCCCCCCCNCCCCCCCCCCCCCCCCCGCCCCGCCCCACTTGACGAAACCCCGTCACCCCCGCCCCCCACCGCTCATTGGTGCCAGTGACGGAGGGAGTGGCCTACGCCCGTTCGCGGCGTTCATTCGAGCGCTCATGGATTACATGCAAGGCTACACCCACAACCAGGTTGGCAAGGAATGATGTGAAGTGGAGATCTCCCAATATCTCCCAATGTGGTGGTCACAATTCTCCCGCACCTGTCGTAAGAAAGTTTTTGCTTGCTCGATACTCGTTTCTTTTTTCTCTTTGGGGCAACCCAACATCGACTGTATTCGTGACAGCGCAGGATTCTCAGCTGAGCACCTGTTCATTTATGGACAGGTTCTTGTACAATGTAGGTTGATTTGATTTCGGCTCACTCTCTCGACACTGCCAACTTTCTCTTGTGCCGGCGCGTGTACCTGGAACGGTGGAACGAAAGTGCAACCACACTGTTGCAGGACCCAAACCTATGTGCGGCTTGGGGGGTGAAGAAATCGTAGGGTTATTCAGTGCGATCGCCGAAACCAGCGCAAACAGTTCGCACGACATTGGAACCCTGCCTGTATTGGGACCCTGCAATCTTTCAGACGGTTGTTCATAGGGGCCTCTGCGACGATCTCGTGCTTCTTGCGCCTCCTCTCTGCATCCTCCCACACAACTTTCATTTAGAATCTGATAGACGAACGTATGCGCCTTTGATCTGGAACATTCGGCGATATCGCACGACGTCGCTAGTAAGTAACACAGAGATTATGTACGTATGGTGATAGACGCTACTGCAGTAGAATATCGCCACCGTCGCTGGCTCATTACGCGGGCGGACTCCCAGCCCCGCGCTCGCCTTTTGAAGGAAATGCGCATGGAAGATTCGATTTCACGACTGAATTGGCTGCATCATGACTTGACGGGCGCGCGGAACAGGTCCGGAAAGTTTTCCGCATTCTGTGCGCGATGGCGTCGCCCGCGCCGGGGGGGAGGGAGATGTCTGCAGGGGGAGACATGGACGACGTTCATATTTTCGTGCGCAAGCACGTGGCAATGTCCCAGGTATTGTGGTACTGTGTTCCATTTGCGGTTTTGTTGCGAGTTGTGTTTGGTTTTTTATCGGCAGGGTTTTGGTGTGGGTATGTCGGCTGGTCGGTAAGGTGAGGCGTCTGCGAGGGCGGCGGGTGTGTGTGTGTGCTCAATGTCCTGCATGTCGTCGTTAGACCATTGACCTCACATCCCTACGAAGCCGGGACGGAGCACGACGGGTTCTCACCGGACCAGGCTCTCACATCACCAAGCGCGAAGCTCCGTGAGGTATTCGGCGAGTCACATGAAGGGTGCGCTGCATCCTGCTATGGGTGTTCGGTATCTTGTGCTTTCTTCCTTGCGTACGGATGATAGCTGCGTGTGACTTAATTTATTTTCTGGTGCTTTCACGTCCCGAGACAATCATAAGCACTTTGTAGCTACCTCGAGGGTGGGAGGGGGAGGTACCGTAGAATCAAAGCGAACCTGTCAACACTAACGTCTGTACACGTTGCGGCTGCATGGGATCCAACCTAGATGGCGCTGAAGCGACCCGGCTCTCCCACCTACACCCCGAAAATACTACGAAATGCCCGTCCGTCTCGGCACCCCGCCACCTGGCACCCAACGCAGATGGCACTGAAGCAAATTGGTATCATCGGGGCCGTGGCCTTCGTGGAGTTCCACGGCAAGACCGGAGGCGGCGACGGGCCGGGGCCAGCGGGAGGCATGTAAGCTGCTCTTGGTTCTGTGTTCTAATTTGAAGGTATTGCATGATGTCGAGGGAGACATAGATGTACCGCTAAATAGCGGTACTCGTGTATGATGATGGCCTGCCTCGCTTCGTCCGTCTCTCAAGCATGGCGAGCGTTTATTCCTCGTCTACCCGCCCAGCCTGTTCTCCACTGTCCCGGCTTTGTGCAGATGGGAGGGTGTACGGCCTCACGACTACTGCCACCACGCACGATTGTGGCAACCCCGCCCCCTGCCTCATCCCACACACACTCTTGCGGTTCAGGTTTTCCCAAGACTCCCAGGCCGGAGGAGGCTCGGCAGTTGGGGGCTCCGCGAACGGCGGCCGTTTCCAGACCTCCGGTGCCGGCGAGACGCTGGCCATGCTCATGAACCACTGCCGGAATTCCCAGGACGGGAAGGCGTTTCTGTACGACGAATTGGCACTGTCGGCGGGGACCGGGGCCCTGGGGAGTGACGCCCTGGATGCCTTGGTCAACATGCTCTTAGGTACCACAAGTGTTGGTATTTGTTCGTTGTTGTTGTTGTTGTTGTTGTTGTTGTTGTTGTTGTTGTTGTTGTTGTTGTTGCTGTTGTTGTTGCTGTTGCTGTTGCTGTTGCTGTTATTGTTATTTGTTTTGTTTATTTTTAAGGTTAAGGCTGGTAGAGTGGTTGTCGATGATGGTCACAATGGTTATCCTCTTCGCTGTTTCTACTGCCGTTGTTGGTGATGGTGCAGTGGAAAAGGCACCGAGGTATGATGTTGGTGTGCGTTCATTTCTCCTGTTTTTTTCTTTTCGAAAGTGTATTCACTCGCTTCCTCCGTGTATCGTTTTTGAGAATGTCGTCAACAACAACCTGATGCGCATCGGTGGGGAAGGCGCCTCCTGGAAACGACACAGCGTCTGCTGCGCGTCACTAGGCAATATAATCTCCATTACAAGAGTGCGGGCGAACTCATAAATGTGCGTTCATTTTTGTCAAAATGGATCGCTCCACAACCGAGAGGGTTGTTGCTAGCCCCGACCGGCACGCACAAGAAGCAATAGGCTCGGAAGACCAGATCTTGTCGAAACCTTCGTGTGTCGGCATCGGCAGAGTTTTGTTTACGAAGCGATCGAGCTTTTCAAAAGCGACTGGAAACCTGTTGTAGTGCGTTCCGCACTCACTTGTACGGTATCCCATTCCGTCGCAACCCGGCTCTTTCAAATCTCGAGGTGAATGCACGTCAATATCACATTTACAACCCCAAAACGTTTCATCAGTTTCGTTTTTTTGCTTTTTGTTCCGTTATCACGCGTCGCCGTCCTGTTCAATCTCTACACACACGCTACGTAGTGCATATGTCTGTGGTAATTATTCTCGTTGTTGCTTGTTCTCATACCTTCATTTATTTTCATGTCTTGTAATTCTACAGACCCTCTGACGGAAGAGTTCATGAACGTGGTCACCGTGGGGGGGGACGATGACGAGGACGAGGAGGAAGCCGAAGGGGCAGGGGGGCTCACCGACGAGCAGAAGAAATTTCTGGAAGACGGGAAGTTCTCCGGGGAGCTGTGCGGCGGGGCGGTCAAGGCGAGGTATGGCGGCCGGTGCATACGTGTAGGCCGTGTTAGCAGCCGTGCCTTCTCTGCAGACCTGGGCTGGCGCTGGTGATGTGTGCATACAGCAGCCTAGCGGCTACGGTATGAGAGGAAGTAGGTTGAGAGCTAGCACTGGTTAACGGAAAATGGCTTGTCCCGGGCATGAGAATCGCTTTACTGTCTCGTTTCAGGGAAGACCGGATCGATCAGAGGAGCTGTTTTGCGCTTTTCCCGACCCTCTTTTGCCCTGTTGCCGCTTGTGTGTAGTTTGTCGCAGCACGATTTGCGGTCCCTTGTGTCGTGGACTTGTGGTGTTGCCTGAGTCAGCGCCGACCACGACGACCGGATGATGTCGAAGAATAACGTGTGTCCGGACCCTGAGAGGATCGATCGCCAAGAGATATCCAAGTTTTATTTAGTCGATCTTCGAACATGACGCGATTGTTGCCTTGTGATGCTCGGCTGGGGGGTGTGACCACTCGACGACGCCATGTATCCAGGTGCTTCCGGGTTATCGTTCTCGAGACTTTGCGGCCAAGCGTTGCGAGTAGTCAAGACATGGGCGATTTCGTTGTCCAACCTGCAGCACGAGATATTCTTGCCTTTTTTCGCATCCATTTGTTCATCAAGTCCCTCTCTGTCTCTCTCTGTCTCTGACCAACCCTCCTGCAATGTTCTTCTGCATGCTCCGGCTGATGTTTGTTTCGAAACCAACTCTCCGCCTGTAACCCTGGGGCTCAACACCACTCTGCCCCCCCCCCCGCCCCCTGTGGCGGGACATGATAGCCTTGTGATTGTTTCTGCCGATTCTTGACCAAGACTACGTGCAAGCTGGCACAGGTGTAACACTCTCCTTTGGTGCTTTTTCTTTCCGTCGACCCAGTCCCTACGGAAACTTGGACCAGGCTGTTGAGGGACAGGTTGCCGAGGTGCTGCTGCTGCCGCTCCTCGCCAGCGAGGATCAACAGGTACTGCAAGAACTGCTAAGTATTCGCCGTCATGGCCGTTGTAGCTGCTACCGCTGTCGCTGTTGCTGGGGCTGCCGCTTGTGCTGCTGCTGCTTCTGTTGCAGTCGTTGTTGTCGTCGTCACTGGCATTGTTGTTGCCTTGCCACTGTTGTCGTCATTGCTGTTATCGGAACGTGCAAGTCCGCAAGCTGTTGTTGGCCAGGGGATCGTTTTCCGGTGTTCTCGTTCGTCCTCCATCCCCAACCACAGGCTACTTCACTCCCATGTTCACTTGCGCACTCTTTCATTCTCGCTTCCTCTCCTGCTGTCGTCTCTTGCGCCCGTCCCTGTTTCCTCAGGAGCGCATGAAGATTGGCGGCCTCTGCCCTCTATTCTCTCTGCTGGCGACCTGCCTTCGCTCCCCTCAGTGCGGCCGGGAGCTGGACGAGATCGCTGCTGCCCTTGGTGCACCGGTCATCCTCGCTGACAGCCACACCGTTGGTGAGGGTGCAGAGTTGGTGGTGCTAGTGGTGGCATGCATTGTAGGAGTAGTAGTAGGCGAGGCAGTCCTGAAGGTTTTCTGGTGTCTTTTTTAGTTTTGCTTCTGCTGTTGTTGTTCTTCTTGGTGTTGTCGTTGTCGTCGTCGCCGTGGTCTTTGTTGTTGTTTCGCTCGGTTGCGTCTTGTTGTGATGGGTTGCAATAGTAGTGATGGTTGCAGTAGTAGTGATGGCTGTAGTGATTGCGTTGTCTAACGTTATTAATGTGATCGCCGCCGCATACTGCTCTGCTCATTCGTTTGCTCTGGCTTTTCCTTCCGCAGACAGCTTCATTGACCTGGAGGAATCCCACAAGGACGCCGTTATCGGGGCTCACTACGCCGCCTGCGACTGGGTCCGCGAGCTGGTGAACGCCTTCGTTCTGGAGACCCATTCCGACTTCAAGGCCAAGGTACGGTAGCATGTTGCCATGTCTCCGTACCTTCTGTGAGTGCTTTTTTTTACCGTAGTCGGGGGTCACGCGGAAGGGACGTGTGCTGTTCGCCTACCGAGATTGACACAAGACATCACATCCCCTGGACTGGTTTATTAAGCTCGACTACTCCACGACGGAGACGATGTATATATCAAAAGTGTGCATTTTTTTTCTCTTGGCATGGCTGTTCCAACGCCGCCATTTCTACCGCGAACACTGTTTTTGCTTCACGGCAATGCCGCTTTGAAATCGGTCAGGGGGGAAGATGTCTTACGTCACTCACGGTCGTTGTCTTGGCTGCCTGTGGATGCGACACAAAGTATCATGCCAGCTGCTTTGGAACGATCCCAAGTTAGAATCCCGATAGTTCTAGTTATAGTCTGGAACCCAAGAAGGAAAGCAGGCGTTCTGCGAAGTGATTTGGGAATGCAGACCGATTCACGTTCGCCACTCGATGCTCACCCCTCGAAAGTCATTTTGAATTCAATGACACTTTCGAGCTTGTATGCTCGACTGCTGTGAGTGCCTCGATGCCGAGACGAGCGTCAGCAGTTTCTTTTGTTACTCGCAAGCCTGCATATGCCTATGGAAGGATGCACACGAGACCACCTTCGGACGTTTTTGAAGCAGGACCTCGCGTCATAGCTCTCTCGAACAGTATCGGTTAGTCCAAGTCCATTGGTTGGTTCCGTTTGCAATCAACCCTCCGGTCTGTGTGATACGGCTAACATCTTATGTTTGCTGGTGGTGGTGTAAACCTGTTGCGCGGCCAACAAGCGATCGGGTCGTAGAATTGTTTTTCTTCTTCCAAAGCCAAGAATTTCAAACAACGTGTATTTCCGCCCCGCCGTCTCCAGAAAGAATGGACTCAATCGTAACTGTTGATGATAGACACCTATTCACGCGCGTTGAAGAAATCATTTTCCGTGCCCCGTTTCGTTTTTTCCCCACACTGAAGGAAGCTTTCTTCACTCTTTTGTCAGAACAGCGCGTCTCTTTATTTTGTAGCATCTGACATCTCCACCCCGTCTCCCTGTGCCCCCCTCAGTGTTTCCACCTACCCCGCTTGTCCATGAAACCGGCGTATCCCCGGCATTTACGTATCTTCTCTCGTTGATGAAACCGGTGTATCGCGCGGCCGAACCATTGCACCGCTGTCGCTTCAGCTGGTGCGGCGGATTGGTCATTTGTGTCGCCTGGAGTTCGACCTCCTGTTCATGCTCAAGCGTCACATCGGATACCGGTTAGTTGTTGCTGTGATCGCTGATTGTTGTTTGGTTGCAGTTGTTGTTGCTGCTGCTGCTGTTGCACAGTCGTTATTGTTGTTTATGTTGTTGGGCAGTGGGATGATGACGTCGGGCATAAGGGCTGTCGGCCCTCGTTTGGTAACCTCGTAAGCATGGAACAACCTCACCGTAGTCCAACCTCACCGTAGTCCAATCCTCGACTCCTCTGCGTTGTGTGTGTTTTCTTTTTGGCTTGCGGTACTTCCCTCGTGCGGCCATGTGCCAGGAAGGATATCGTTGTTGTGCTTGTTCCGTTGTTATCTGCGTGGTGGATTTTTCGACGCTTCTTTTTGTTTCCCATCCGTGCTTCGTCCACGCTACTGTAGGCTGCCTGGAACAGGGAAGAGCATAATGTCCCCGGCAAACTCCGCTCTCGGCAAGAAATCAGGTGCTGCATCGTCGTCGTCGTCCTCATCCGCGGCTGGCGGCAGCAAAGGGAAGGGCAAAGGGAAAGCGAAAAGTACGGTGAGGATAATTCTCTTCACCCACACCCCCGCCGTCCTGTAGTTTCGAGGGGGTCGGGAAGACGGCAGCCCCTTACAATTTTTGGAACATTCACACATTGAGTGTTTTCGAGGAGGCGCTAACCTGTAGGCGAGGCGCTAGTGGCAGGAGGTGCGTGTGTTCCTAACGACCCGCCTTTACAGGAACCTGAGGGGTTTACAACTTCAGGTTAAGACATAACCAAGCTTAAGGAATTGACGATACGAGCGGGGCGGTCCGCTACGTGCGAATTCTACACGACTAACCTATACGCCGCTGGTAGGCTATACGAAGTACCTCACCAGAATAAATACGACGACGCACCTCTTAGAAGAAAAATGGGGTTAGCAAGTCGGGACGCCCTCTGTAGTAGTTTGCTGTAGACGTCTGCTGGACAAAGGGGGGTGCCATTTGGACGTTTGCAAATTGCTCCGGGACGGGCACAGTGAAATGGGCGGAAGGGTCTTGTGACTAAAAGATGCGATGAAGGAATGCCTCGAGGGAAGAACCGAAATACACGAGAACGACAGATCGCCAGCACTTGCCGACAGAGACTGGTTCTACCAACGGTACGAGAGAGGGACAAATTAACAGAACAGAAGAAAAACAGCAGTGTAGAAGAACACAAAGACCCGAGGACGTGCTGAAAGAGAAAGATATGAAACGAAAATGAGTTAATGATAAACATTCGTTTGGTCAGTCGACTTGTACAGTGGCAGAGTTGTATTTGGCACCAGCAGTTGCCCGCCTCCCGGCCTTGGCGAAGCCTTACCGGTCAACGGTGTTCCTGGTTGTAGGAATACGAGGCGAGTGCTCTGATATGTGACGCACGAATTTGGTGTATGTTGTGTGTGTTGTGCTTGTTGTTGTCCTCCCTTTGATGTGGTGAGAGATGTGGACTACACTTTTCAGTTTTTTTTCGGACAAGCACAACCATCCAGGATCACACAGGAGGGTGTAAACACCGAGGCTTTGTTCTTTATGAATATATTATTGTATATATTTTCGTGCCCCACCTTCCTCCGGCGGTGCGTGCTGTTTTTTTTGTCGCAAGAAGGGCCCAGCCGTCCCTTTCTTCAACGGTGCTAACGTCGATGTTTGGTACTCACGAGCTTTTCAGCTTTTTTCGCGTTCACCCACAAACATGTAAAGTTATCACCCCATGGGCATTCGAACTCACGATATAGTGACTAACGGTTTCGAGTTGATCGCTACACTACCGGGGCGACCGGTCGATACTAACTCCGATATTCCCCTGCATGTTTGAAACTGCACACGGAAGCACCTTTGTTGATTGAAGATCGTTCCAGGAAATCACAGCTGAACGATGCCTACATGTACCGATGTATGCCGCGCCTTGAAGATTGATTGTCTCCGTGAAAGAACGTACAATTCCTTTTCCTCCTGTGCCACTTGGGGTGAAACTGTACACCACGTCATCTCGCAGATCGAAGGCAGTTGTATGGAAAAGCATGCCATCGATTCCTACCGTTTCGGCTTGATTACTCTCTCTGTGAAACCACGCATGTATTCCTGCTTCGATGTTCTTTGTTGAATTGTTGAAGGGAAAAGCGACCAAGAAGACGGAAGGGGAGCAGTCGGAGGTGATGCGGGACACCCTCAGGAGGTCCCTGCGGCCCCTCGCTCCGGAGGCGGTGTTGGTGCTAGGGTTCCCGGGAATGCTTCAAAAGACTAGGAACACGGTGGTGAGAGTTGCGTGCACCCTGTTTGCTCGACATTTGACGTTGTTGTACAGGACCTTGGTCACGTAACAGTAGCCTTGTCCCAGTATCACTTTTGGTGTCCTCAGACCACCTTCTGCAAGGATGTTTGAAACACGAGGAGCAACGTTGGACTCGTTTGCTCGACGTTTCACGTTGTACAGGACCTTTGTCACAAGACAGCAGCAGTGGCTCAGTAATTACCTTCATGAGAAAATCTGCAAGGATACTCATTTAGACGAAGGACACGAAGGCAAGCGTACGTATTATTTTCAGATATCTCACCCCGATGGTGTAGCATCTTGGTGACGAAAATGGGGCTGAGGGGTGCAGTTGGATTTGTGACCACGTACCTTCTGGCTCTAGATTGTGGGTTTGATTGAATCTCTCTTGAGTGAACCATCAGGACACGCAACAAGGAAGGCAGGGCTCGTTTTGTCGAACCCTTGCCGGGTACCGTATGTGACACAAGATAACCCACCCCTGGACCGATTTTCAAAGCTTGATTACTCCACGACGAAGAGGGTACATCAACGATATGATACATTTTCGAGAAGCTCTCGACGAGACGGTTTCAACGCCGCGGTTTTCGGCGCTGTGACTGTTCCTGCAGTTGAGAAATCGAGCTTCGAAAATGGGTCAAGGGGGTGTGTTATCTTGTGTCATATACGGTATCCGTTTGAAGGCAAAAACGGCAGGAGGAACGACGAGGACTTATCTCTTGTGTGACCCCGGCTGTTTCGTCAAACATACCGTATGCCGGTGAGGCGTTGATAGCCTCCGTGGTAGATACACGGGACGAAAACAACAAAAGAACGCTACCCGAGCCGAGCACCACCTCTTGCTGGTTCTAAGCCTGAATGTTCAGCAAGCCAAGTTGCCCCCCGCAACCCCGACCTTGCCTTCGTTTGTCATTGTTTGGACTGTGTGAAAATGCTGCCAAGGCCACGACAGGCTGCGCGGGTAACGGTAGGCGCAAGCTCGTCTCACCCGAATCTCGGAATGCAGACGGATACGATCCTGCAATTTCCGATGAAATACACGGAACTTATCCAAAGAGGCATGTCTTCGCCCATGATTTGTATGGCGAAATATTGATTACATCCTTGTCAAAGTTGCCGATTCGTTGAATGAAATCGTACAGCACAGCCCTTGACTTCCCGTGCGAGATAACACTGCACCCCGTCGAAGGTTGTGATGTAGCTTCAACAGTGAAGGAGAACATAACCTATTGGAGTTGTTGTCATTCTGTTTGCGCCTTCACGCTGAAGCGTCAGTGATGCCACCTGGCACTAAAATCGCCTTCATAGTGCATTTCGTTGCGTATTCTTCACTTTTCTTGTTTCTGCTCAGGGTGACACGGTCGCCGTGGAGTCGATCAAGGTCGGACTGCGCGGGGTGCATCTCTTGCTGCAGGAGATGCATGGACACCTTAAGAGGGCGCTGGCCGACAAGAACTCCACCCACGCGTTTTCACGCCTCCGGGAGGCGGTAAGCTATTATTATCTTGTTGGTGTAGGCATTAGAACTTCAGCTATGTCTTGATTGCGGGCTCGTGATGTATACCATATATGACACAAGATAACACACCCCCTGGACAAATTTTGAAAGCTCGATTACTCCACGACGAAGAGGATGCATAAACGAAACAATACATTTTCGAAAAGCTTTCGACGAGGCGTTTTCAACGCCGCCGTTATCGGCGCTGTGACTGTTCCTGCAGTTGAGAAATCGAGCTTCGAAAATTGGTCAAGGAGGGGTGTTATCTTGTGTCACCTACGGTATGTGGGCCGAACTATCGGAGCCTGTGTCCTACGATGGGATGTATGTATATTCGGGTTGGCTGCGTAGGCGGTGGTAGGGGGCCCGGGAACGCATCCTCGCTTTTCGTTTACGCGTTTGACCTGCGCAAGTGGAAAGTGTTGTGCCATGGGCGGGCGGAGGACGGAGAGTGTGATGAAGGTGTGATGGGGACGCAACCGCAACGACAGGTTCACTCTTCTGTCCGTCTGTTGCATACCTCCCACTATGGTATGTCTACAACATGGAAAAAATGAAAGCACACACGCGCGTAGGAGTCACCGTACCGCCTTGGCTCCGGGCGAGGTCCTTGTATCCCGCCCAATGCTGCACAACGTGCCCCGTCATGATCGGGACGGGAACGCATACCCAAATGCCGGCACGTAGAAGCCCGGAACGGGAGCATGCTGCGCCGGCAGCACGCGCCGGTGACGACCGTACCCTTAGCGTACTTGTCACGAAGTTCTCGGTCGGAGCGAAAAGAGGAAGTGACCTCTTTGCGCCACAAAAATTTCAAGATACCTGAACAAACACTTTCGTTCCATTCTATTTGTTCAATTCTGTTGAACCCATCCGTTTTGATCGCCGCTGTATCATACGAAGAGTCATTATTTCCGCCTACTTTAAAGTAGTATACGTTTTGGAGATCCCAGCCGAAAGCGCCACATTCCGGACTTCGAAGAATTGTTTTTCTGCGATACAGTACATACTTGTCAGTTCTTGCTGTAGTTTATTTTTGGTTGCGTTGCTGTTTTTGTTGTCGTCGTCTCTGTTGATGGTTTGATCTGTTTTTTTGTGTCTTTCGCTTTGTTCCTGTGTCAGGCATCTTCGTCCTCCCCTGGGAGTAGCAGTGCAGCAGGATCCAGGCCTACCCGCCCGGCGCTGGAGCTGCTGACCATGTACCGCGAGGGGGGTGTGTTCCGCTCTCTCTGGAAACTACTTCAGGTGCGGCGCAATGTTTACAACAACGACCATGGTTGATTCCCGATATTTTTGGCGATGGTCCTTCGAATGAGATTGGTGAAAGTGTTTTCAGTGCTCACAACCGCAACCAACTTGATTTGGCGATACAACGATGTCATTTCGCAATTTTTATAGCCAAGACCAAGTCGATTCGCGATATGTGTATGCACAGCGAAGGCGTTTCACCGAAGATGTTTTGACATCTGCATGCACCTGACCAGGTAAGTAAGAACGACAAATGTCTTGGATGACCGTTGAGAAACAAGCACCCACGTGATGTGCATTTTGGGTGACCACCGTTGAGCGTTGTGACTGTGAGCTGCCGGCTTCCGTGTGCGACGACTATCTGCCTACCCTGGCTGGTACGTCCAACCAAATATGAGACACGCACGCTTCATTCTTTATCTTTTAAAATTGTATTCTTCTTCGATGTAACACTACCGCAAGCTAAGTGATAGTGAGTTTGTGCCAACCTCACGGCACCTTGATGTTCACTAACATGTAGCACGGTTTCGCACACAATAGTGCATGTCGAAGGTTGGCTACCCTTCAACACGCCTTGTTATCCCTGTGCAATTCCTAACGCGATGGTTGTTCTGTTTCACGTCAACGTGGTTGAATCTAACGTCATCAGATGGTAGGGAACAGCCTGGGAGGAATGGAGGACGAGATCGGGGTGTTTTGCTCCGATATCAGCGACGAAGAAATGCTGTTGCCTTGCCTCGATTTCGCTCTCAAGGTTTGTGTTCGTGCTTTTCTTTTATTTTCGTTGCATCAGTTGAACTCGGTGGCTGATCAATGAGCATCCGCCGCCATCAAATCGACCTAGCAAGGCGTCAGCTTCAGTGAAAACGCCGCCGATGAAAGTGTGCGTGTGTGTGGAATTGGCACCCACGGAGTGAAGCGGCTGGCCAATGTATGCTTCGCACTGATTTATCTGTGCTAGCATTGAACATGCCATCGGCGGCCGACCAATGAACTTCCGCCATTTTTGCAGCGGGAAATCAGCGTTCTATAATAGTGGTGGGCAATGGATGTGTTCTTTCGCCAGCATCGACGCGCCAACCAATGCCAACGCATGTGTGTTTGTGTTTTTTTTTTTTTCTTAATATGACACAATGAGTCCATCTCTATCATAGAAAAGAGTCAGAGACAGATTAACAATGGAATCATAGCGTCAGAGTTTTTTTTTTTTCGTTTGCCTCTCACGTGTTTCGGTCGCTTTTCGCAGCGCCAGGCTATGTCACGGTCTTTTGCCCTCTGTCATTTAGAATGTGCATTCGCGTTAGCTTCGCCTCGCATGCTCTTCGTCAGCGGGAAATTCTTCAGTCGATCTTACTTTCTCTCCGAAGATGAGGGCGTGGAAAGTGGTCGAGCAAAAGGTGTTGATCGCAGATCGCGGCGCTGAATCATTGGGAGAAACACTAGCCTCGATGGGAAGGTTGAAATAAAATCCTCGTACAAGTTGGGGTCATTTCATTGACGACTTAGGTGATCTGACGAAAAGACCGAGACAGTTTTGTGCCAGTATCGAGAGAGTCGTGGCATCACCTGCCGTGGTCATGTCGAAAAATCCGTTAACCACCAAGGTGTCGCAAGAAGCACTTGGCTCGGCAAGATCACTTCAGATAGTCAATGAGAATGACTCGGACAGACGCAAACAGAAGTTGTCCGTGATCCGAGGCTGGCGTGCCAGCCTTCTCCGAACTCTGTGTGTGAAGGCGGCTGGCGACGTCTGACCTTCTGGGCCCTACATTGTACAAGTTTTTGCTCTTTGTTCAACCGCATTTGTGTAGACTCTTCACTGATCCTCTTTGGGTAGTACTTGGACTGCAGCCACGACAGTCATGTTCAGCTGGACCAGTACAGGCGTTAGACCTAACCACCCCACGCTCACTGCCTCAAATGTTGGTGTACTACATGTTGTCGTTGTATCACATCGCATCGCGCCAGGTCTTAAGCATCCTTTGCGGATCGGATGAGATTCTTTGTTCGGAGGCCGGCCGCGATGTCCTCGGGCAGTGCTTAGCAGATGCCTTCTACGATGGTATGTACGTCGGGAAGACTTACGAAATGGCCTTCATATCGATTTCATTTATTACACACGCACGGTGAGCCATGTTGACCGACGCAATCAATATTGAAGTAACGTGCCGGTGGACACCCCTCTCTGTGATGAATGTTTGCATATGAGGTGCAGTATGCATACCTGCATACCGGCAAGGGATGTGCTGATTAGAGGACAGAACAGATTTTCAACGCGAACGCGTTTTACGTATCAACGGCGGGCAGACAAGCACTTCGAAGTATTACGCCCCTTGTACTGTTTCATGGAATCTTGCTTAGACCGCTTTGAATGGAGAATGGCCCACCCTGAATACGGACACTGAATCAGAGCGTGCCCACTGTTTGGTCATGAAAAGCGCTGTCTGGTGGCTTTTGACTCTTCCGGAGAATGAAGCATTCTCTCTGATCGCTGGGATTGTTCTTGCTCCGCATCCAACAACTTTGCTTTGGTTTTCGTCTTTTTTTCGGGGGGGGGGGGGGGGGGGGGGGGGG